TTGGGTGGGGTGGGTTGGGACCCTTAATAAACAGATACTACCTTTAGCTATACAAGGGTAAAAAGTTCTGAACCAAGAAAGAAGGAGAGATCCTTAAACAATGGTATCAATCGTCGATGCTAACTTTTGCAAAAAAATACATTCCTATCTATCCATTATATAATCATTAGTTACATTGCGTGTTTCTATCCCAACGAGTCACATTATCTAGTTTACTTCTATCTCTGCAGCAGTTGATAGATTCATGTTTAAATTAATTATAAGCTTCATTGAGCACTCTTTGTGACTTTCTCTTCGGTGATAGAGTATTTTTAGCAGACTATTGTCAACATAAAACGAAAACAGTCTTCTTATTATCAGAGCCAGCTTAAGAAGTATGAGTTTGTTTTGAGGACAAGACACTAGAGGACCATTCAATTTACAATTAGACTGTTTGTCATATCAGTTGGCAATGTTCATTATATTTAGATTATATTATTGCTTATAACGTTAAAATAACAAATATCAAACAGGAGCTACTAACAGAGTCAAGATCGATTAATTTAAATCTTACGATAAAGAGTTTCTAGGATTTTAATACCGTTTTTCTATACAACTTATTAATTTTAGTTCAAACAAAATCAAAAGTATTGAATATTTATCTATGATGATGAATATAAGTTTATCTTTTCTATTTTATATGCTACTAAATTTTCAAAAAATATCGAAACTCGTACAAAGCTTATATATGTATTTAAGAGATAAATGTTATTAGAATTCTGAAAACTTATCAATTAAACAACGCTTGATCGTACAAAAAAAATAAATTCAGAAAGTTCTGTTACTTTTTATATACACGGTAAAATGTTTCTGATTCATCCTATATTTATTGATGTCAACGTAATAGAGAAAATGTTTATTCGTTTTCTGATGCTTCACGCAAGTGATAGAATGTCTAGTATTTAATAATGTTGCATCAGCTAACATAAAACTTGAAGTGTTCTTTTATTAAAAGCATTTCACGCTTAAGAAATCTCTTCATAACCTGAATATTTCTGGTTAACCATATTGCCCTTGTTATCTTTGTTGATAGGATCAAACTGTTTAATTACCTATGATGATCTATAATGATAAAGATACTAAAGAAAATGGACATACATTTAGAGATGAAAAATAAGTGCATTCCTCTCTACGATAGAAAGAAGACTTTCGTGTCAAAAAGTTAAAACTTTGTCAGTGTCTACACAGTGTGAGAGTCTTTTGTATATAAACAGAGGAACAGTTTTTATTTGGCAGTGTTTCGAAGCACTTTATCTAAACACCGATGGATTTGTGTGTTCAATGATAGTCTAATTTTCAGCCTGAATATATTCAAATGGTTCCTTTAGAGTGGCGTAACACTGGCAGTATGATTTATCGACGATATTATCACACAGCATCTGCATTAACAAATGGAAAAGTATTAGTTACTGGTGGCTTGGATAATGGTTCTTATTTAAATAGTGCTGAGTTGTATGACCCACTAACAGGACTTTGGACAGCAACTGCTAATATGAACATTACACGAACTGAGCAGACAGCATCTGTACTAACAAATGGAAAAGTGTTAGTTACTGGTGGTGTGAATAATAGTTCTTATTTAAATAGTGCTGAGTTGTATGACCCACTAACAGGAATTTGGACAACGACTGGTAATATGACTATTTCACGATATCTACACACAGCATCTGTATTAACAAATGGAAAAGTGTTAGTTACTGGTGGATATAATATTGGTTATTTTTCAAGGAGTGCTGAGTTGTATGACCCATTTACAGGAACTTGGACGATGACTGGTAGCATGAATGATACACGATACACGCACACAGCATCTGTATTAACAAACGGAAAAGTGTTAGTTACTGGTGGATGGATGGCTGGGATTTATTATAATAGTGCTGAGTTGTATGATCCATTGACAGGACTTTGGACAACGACTGGTAATATGAATAGTGCGCGAGATGATCACACAGCATCTGTATTAACAAATGGAAAAGTGTTAGTTACTGGTGGATCAAATGGTAGTTCTTATCTAAATAGTGCTGAGTTGTATGACCCACTAACAGGACTTTGGACAACGACTAGTAGTATGAATAATGCACGACATTGGCACACAGTATCCATATTAACAAATGGAGATGCGTTAGTTACAGGTGGATGCGTAAGCTCTGCTCTAAATAGTTGTGAATTATATTAATGATTTCATCTCAACAGACATGTAATAATCGTATGCTTATAAGTATATGAAAATTTCGATTCATGTACTACGTATTTTGAGAAAGACACCTATTGAATTCATATGAAATTAAGTATTTTTTTTCCTTAGATT